CCAAGACTGCATAATTTTGTATAGGGTCTGGGAGGGAAACCTGACGTTTTTAAGCTGGCACTAGTCTGGGCAATGGTGGCGTGGGAAGAGAGGGCTCACTGACTTTCAACAGCTCAAAGTATGCCATTTCAGTAGACATGGAACATCGTGCTTTTGTTGTTGAGACATTTAGTAAAGCTGGTGACACTGTTACCCTGACTCAGCGACATTTCCATGTGCACTTCAATGTGGGTCGTCATGGTAAATATCGAAGTAGGAACACGATTTTTTTATGGAATGCAAGCTTCATATCAACTGGCTCAGCACTAAAGAACAAACTGCCTAGAGGTGCACAAACTGTCCGAACACCTGAGAATTTTGAGACTGTTAGGTGGGCAGTAGTGAGTAATAGCCATAGTTCTGCAAGGAAGCATGCCATTGCATTAGGCATTTCAGATTGGAGTGTGAGATGAATATTGCAAGTAGATTTGCATTTTCTTCCATACAAGATGATGGCTGTGTAAAAGTTGCATCAATGTGACTGGGTGGATCATGTTACTTTTGCAACAAAACATGCTTGAAACTGTGGTAGATGACACAGTCATTGGCATGAGTGACAAGGCACACTTCCTCTTATCTGGGTGTAACATACAGAACTTCCGTCACTGGTCAGACTAAAAACCATGGAAGCTTCATGAACGCCCTCTTCACTCTGAATGTGTGAGTCTGGGGCTGTGGGAATCGTCAGTGTGATAGGATCGTATTTCTTTGAGGAAGACGGACATGCCGTGACAGTAAACTCTGGTCACTATGTTCAGGTGTTGCATAATTTCCTTGCACCAGAAATTAACAAACATGGAATTAATCAATAAACAATGTGGTTTCAACAAGATGGGGCCACTGTTCATACTGCATGAACTTCCATGGCAGTTGTACTTGAAATGTTTCCTTGGCATGTCATTTCTCAGCGCAGTGATCTTCCATGGCCTGCTTGGTCACCTGACTTTAGTGTATACGATTACTTCCTTTGGGGTTACCTCAAAGCAAAAGTATTCATCAACACACCACGCAGTTCATGAACTGAAAGTTGCGATTGAACATAAAATCATGGCAATACCTACTGACATGATGAGACACTTAGTGAACAACTTCAAAGTGAGGCTGCAGGAATGCATACGAAGAGATGGTAAGCATCTGGATGGCATAATTTTTATGACAAAATGAGCTGGCAGTTATACACATAAAATGGCATACATTGTTATGTATTATGACAAAAATTTAAATAAAAGAAATAAAAATTGGCTCCACTGTACTAATTTAGAATCCATCATGTTTCCCTGCCGGACCCTGTAGATATTCTGGTTTATCAATATTAGAGTCAATTTTATGAACCACACAACATATTTTTATTATTATTACACTACATGTTTCAGCCTCAAGAGGTCATCCTCAGGTGTACGAACACAGCTGTATAATTACATGCAATCACATTCATCTTCTCACTTATTCGATCCTGTATCTTATTCAGGCCCACACTCAATAATATATCAAGCTCCTCTCACACAACACAAGTTAAAATATTACTCTAAATGTCAAAAGTTAAAATTTAAAATTGAATTTCAATTCAGATCGCTAGTTATGCTTTCACTTTCACTTGTTATTCAGTCACTTCCTACTTAACGCTCATCAAGTTCGCATTAACTAGTTTAATTATATTATTGGTTAAAAGTTCATGAATTAAAGTTCAATTTTATTATATTGATTGCACTTTTTCACTTTTTTGGAGGTCTCGCTGTTCTTCCGCGTCCTCTGATGTGCTGGATCTGTTACGGTCCTTGTCATGATGGCTACTCTTGTGTTTTGTGAGAGGAACTTGATATATTATTGAGCGTGGGCCTGAATAAGATACAGGATCGAATAAGTGAGAGACGAATGTGATTGTGTGTAATTATACAGCTGTGTTCGTACACCTGAGGATGACCTCTTGAGGTAGAAACATGTAGTGTAATAATAATAAAAATATGTTGTGTGGTCGGTAAAATTGACTCTAATACTGATTAAATACACAACAGGATGCAAGAAACAATTAAAGTTATTCTGGTTTATGTTAGTGTTCGTATTTCTATGCAGATTTTTTGCAGAACATGATTGATATATTACTGTCTCACAGCCTGCAAACATAACAAGGCGTAAATAGTTATTTCTCTTTAGCGTCTGTTGGGTGATGGGGCAATGTCACCAAATTTACTGTAAATTTTTCATACCTGTCCCTCACTTAATAGCATGTGGTGTGGTCAGTGGTCACAGAAAAACAACCATACACACAATCGCGTGCGTGTGCACACCAAACATCCATGCACTGAGTGGGATTCAAACCCACGATCCCAGCTTCTGAGTGAGTGAAGACAGTGCATGCCTGCTCAGCTACCGTGACCGGCTCACTGTATGTGTTACCCTGAGCAAATACTATACAAGGTGTACTGGAAAGATCCTGGACTAGAGTAAAGAAGTCTGGCGAGTAGGGAGAATGAGGAATGATAACCATGTTGTTAGTCACAAACTCTTGTCGTTTTCAGGGAGGCATAAGCGGGTGCATTACCGTGATGAAGGAGCAATACGGCACACGTTCAAATTTTCTATTAAGATCTTCTGGCAAACTCAATAACTGATCCCAATGGTGTCTGCGAGCTAATAGATTGTTCAGCGATGGTCTTTGTGGATGAGTTCTTGAATTTTTCAACATTTTCTGTCCTTTTGCTGGTGCTTGGTCACCCTGAACGTTTGTCATTTTCAACTTGACACTTGACCAGCCTGTGGTTCTTTGCAGGACAAAGTTGAAAACAGTAAGCCCCATATGGAAGAACTAAAAAAAAATATTCATAGGGAAATTGAAAATATTCCTGCACAACAGGTTCTGCTGGTGCAAAGAATGTCTACGTGTAGGGGGACAGCATTTACAACAACTTCTGTAACCTGTGAATTGTATACTTCATTCCAAACGTTACTGGCCACAGACAAACCGATTCATTGGCAAAATCTGTATGCACCTTGCAGCCAGTGGTGCAAGTCGCTGTGAACCAGCTGAGAAAAGTAAGAAACTCCATCAATAGGTATACATGGTGTGTTTAAAACGTATCGAACCTTTGGTCAGCAGAAATACATTTACTGATTTGGAGGTACAAAACCCTAATCCCCTTCAAAGTAGTCTCCTTGGTAATGCACACACCTCTCCCAGCACTTCCGCCATTGTTGGAAACACTTCTGGAACGCATCTTTTGGAATGGTTATCAGCCGGGCCGTCGCATTCCGCATGATGTCTTCTCTTGACTCAAATTGGGTTCCTTTCAGCAGCATTTTCAGCTTGGGAAATAGCCAAAAGTCACACGGAGCCATATTGGGGGAGTAGGGAGCCTGACGAACCACAGGAATAATGTGTTTGGCGACTAAGTCTGAATCAGATGCACAGAATGGGCAGGTGCGTTATCATGATGGAGCTGCCAAGATTTTGCTGCCCACAGATCCAGTCGTTTGCACCACACAGCATCACGAAGGTGACGAAGGACCTCCTGGTAGTATTCCTTTGTGATGGTTTGGCCTTGTAGTGCGTACTCATGATGCACAACCCCATGGGAGTCGAAGAAAATGGCCAACATGACCTTGACATTGCTGCAGACCTGCTGTGCATTTTTTGGCCTCAGGGATGTCGGATGTTTCCACTGTGACGACTGCATCTTGGTTTCCGGGTCGTACCCATAAACCCACGACTCATCGCCTGTGATCACGGTGTTCAGAAAGTTGGGGTTACTGTTTGCATTGTCTAGCATGTCCTGTGCAATTTCCAGATGGCGTTCCTTCTGCTCCATTCTTAGCAGTTTCAGTATGAATTTTGCGGACACTCTCCTCATGCCCAAATCCTCGGTCAAAATTGAATGTACTGATCCAATGCTTACCCCTATCTCATTCGCAAGTTCTCAGACTGTGATACGACGGTCCTCCATGACCTAAGTCCGCACTTGCTCAATGACATTCTCATTTCGGCTTGTTGAGGGTCTGCCTGAACGTGGTTCGCTGTCCACTGATGTGCGGCCATCTTTGAAGCGGTTGTACCACTCCTTTATCCATGAGTTGCTCATGGCATCGTCCCCGAAAGCCTGTTGAATCTTGCGAATGGTTTCCACTTGGGTATCGCCAAGCTTATGGCAAAATTTGATGCAATATCGCTGCTCATGTTCTTCCGTCATTTTACACCTTTCTGGAATCCGACAAGCGCTCACTACACGTCCTCACTCACAGGCAGACTGTCAGTGACTGATGCTTTCTGCGGGCAGGAAAAAATTCATGATTGTGCATGAATGTCACCTCCACATCTCCACTGAAGGGAGCCTCCCGCGCTTCATTAGTTTATGAGGGAAAAAAGAAGGTTCAATACATTTGAACACACCACCTATATAGAACAACTAATCACCCGACAGCAGGTACAGAGGCAACTCCAACAGTGTCAGGTATATTAAATTTACTTCAGACAAAGGGCAACAGGTAATAAGTGTCTATAATCTGTCACACACAGTTACAAATCTTTAGTGAAACATTAGTTATCCTATAACAAATCCTCAATACAAGGACACGGCAGTGTTATTACATGGGTACAGACTACATCAAAGACACAAGACAAATTGTAAACTTTAGCATTTATAGAACCTGGGAACCCTATGATGTAGTGCCAAAGCACTGCTTAGTGGATTGGACAAACAAGCAAAATGTAAAGGATTTTTGTTATACAGAATTTATAACAAACATGCAGTTCGCAAAGTATTTCATTCCAGCTATATCAGCTCTGCTTAAAAGAAAATGGGACTGATACATCACAAGCAACATTCAACAAACTACAGTTACCTAGAGACATTTGGGGGGGGGGGGGGAATAAAAAACAGAACCACCACAGAAACGCAATGCGAAGG